TTCTTGTTTCAAGGCAAAGGAGGCAGTTGTTCCTGGAGGCAGTCTGCCACACATTCCATATCCTCCTGTTTCTGACTCCCCTTCTGCCTCTCTTGCTCTAGGTAAATAGAGACCAATTGTAGTGACTTGAATGGCTGCTTGTAAGCATTTAAGACCCCAGGCATCATGCAATGAATTAGGAGGAAAACAGAAGCACTAGATACTTTATTAGGCCAAATAACTGGGATGTCACATGAAACCATGACCCTAAACCTCCAAATAAGAAAATCCCATGAGATTGTATATAAGCAACCTTAGTAGTTACTATTCTTTCATTTATTTATTGTCATTATAAACATATGTATCACACAGCTTTTCCAATTCAACTTTTTACAGGCATACAACTTATTGATAGCAATTATATAATCGGCTGCACAGCTTACCCTTAATAGATGAGATTTTCCATCACTATAAATCTCCCTTCTCCCCTTTCCTTCTGCCCCTTGTATCCACTAATAAACTTTGGTCTCTATGTATTTGCCTTTTCATATAATTGAGGTCATACAATATTTGTCCTGTTGTATTTGACTTATTTCACTCAGCATAATGTCTTTAAGCTCCATTTATAGTGTTGTTGTTGTTGTCAGGTACCATTGAGTCGGAACCGACTCATAGCGACCCCATGCACAGCAGAACGAAACAATGTCTGATCCTGGGCCAACCCCACCACCGCTTCCACACTTGACGCCATCAATGATGCCACCTGGCTGATCCATCTTGTTGGGGGCCTTCCTCTTTTTCTCTGACCCTCCATCTTACCCAGCATGACATCCTTCTCCAGCGACTGTTCTTTCCTGACAATATGTCCAAAGTATGAATGACAAAGTGTAGCCATCCTGGCCTCCAAGGAGCACTCTGGCTGCACTTCTTCCAAAATAGATCTATTGGTTCTTTTGGCAGTCCATGGCACTTTTAGTATTCTTCCAGAGGTTCAAGCTGGATTCAGAAGAGGCTGGGGAATGAGAGATATCCGGTGGATCTTAGCTGAAAGCAGAGAATATCAGAATGTTTACCTATGCTTTATTGACTACGCAAAGGCTTTCGATTGTGTGGATCATGACAAGCTTTGGACAACATTGAGAAGTTTGAGTATTCCAGAACACTTAATTGTACTTCTGAGGAATCTGTACCTGGACCAAGAAGCAGTTGTTCAAACAGAGCATGGGAGCACTGAATCTATAGTGTAGCATGTATCAAACCTTCATTTCTCTTGCTGAGTAGTATTTCATTGTATATATGTACTCCTGGTGTGGCACTGTAGGACCAGCACTGTACTGCGAACCACAAGGTCGGCAGTTCAAACCCTCTTGCTTCTTCTCAGATACCCTATACATGATCGTTATGAGTCAGAACTGACTCGATGGCACTTAACAACACCACCACTACATTTTGTTAATCCATTAATCTGTTGATGGGCATTTAGGTTGTGTCCACCATTTGATTATTGTGAATACATTAATATACTAGTTTCTGTCAGTCTCTGCTTTCAAGTCTTTTGGGTATATACCTAGATGTGGAATTTGTGGGCCAATGTGATTGTTCTATTTTCAGTTTTTTGAGGAACTGCCATACTTTTCCACAAGGGTCATACCATTTTGCACTTTCATCAGCAATGAATAAGAATTCCAATTTCCCTATATCCTCACCAACATTTATTATTTATTTATTTATTTTTCAAATCTAAGCCATCCTAGAATTGATGCTTTTGAGTTATGGTGTTGGAGGAGAATATTGAAAGTGCCATGGGCTTGCCAAAAGAACCAACAGATCTGTGTTGGAAGAAGTGCAGCCAGAGTGCTCCTTGGAGGCCAGGATGGCCAAACTTGGTCTCTCATACTTTGGACATATTGTCAGGAGGGACCAGTTGCTGGAGAAGGATATCATGTTTGGTAAGGTGGAGGGTCAGAGAAAAAGAGGAAGACCCCCAGTGAGATGGATTGGCAAAGTGGCAGCATCAATGGGCTCAAGCGTGGCAACAGTGGTGAGGTTGGCCCAGGACTGGGCAATGTTTCATTCTGTTGTGCATAGGGTTGCTATGAGTTGGTACTGACTTGATGGAACATAACAACAACAACAACAAAGTAAGAGTGGGATGGTATCTCATTCACTTTGCATCCCTCTGATGACTAATGACGTTGAGCATCTTTTCGTGTGTTTAATAGTCATTTGAATGTCCTCTTTGGAGAAATGTCTATTCAAGTCCTTTACCCATTTCCTGATTGGGTTATTTGTCTTTTTGTTGTTAAAATGTCAAACTTTTGTATTTATTTTGGTCATTAGATTCTTGTTGGATATATGGTCTCTAAAGATAGTTTCCTAGTTGATAACTTATCTTTTCACTTTTTTGGTGAAGTCTTTTGACAAACAAAAGTTTGAAATTTTTACGATGTTCTGTTCATTTATTTTGTCTTTCACTATTTGTGATTTTATTATATTGGTTAATCCATTGTCGAAGTCCTAGTGTAGCTCTATAAGATAAGCACTGTACTGCTAACTGAAAAGTTGGCAATTCAAACCCACCAGTTGCTCCTTGGAAACCCTATACCAGTGACTGTGAGTCTGAACTGACTCGAAGGCACTTGACAACAACAATAGCAACAATCCAGTGTTAAAAACTAGGCAATGGCACTGCCCCTTTTTCTTCTAAGAGTTGTATGGCTTTAGTTTTACATTTAGGGTCTTAATCCAGTTTGAATTTGTTTTTGTGTATGCTAAGGTATGGATCCTGTTTTGTTTTCTGTGTTGGAAATCCAATTTTCCCAGCACCATTTATTGAAGAGACTCTTCTTTCTTCATCAAATGGACTTAACACACTTGTCAAAAATCAGTTGGCAGATTTATTTCTGGACTCTCAATTCTATTCCATTAGTCTGTGTTTCTACTATTATACCAGTTTCAGCCTGTATAAGTCCGCCTACTTTGTTCATCTCTTTCTACGTTGCTTTAATAATTCTGGACCTCTTGTCATTCCAGATAAAATTGAGAATTGTTTTTTTACATTTCTGTAATCAAGGCTGTTTGAATTTTTACTGGGATTGCATTGAATCTGTAGATCACTTTGGATAGTATTAACGTTTTTCATAATATTAAGTCTTCAATCCATGAATGTGGAATATCTTTTCAGTTAGCTGTTGTTGTTGTTAGGCACCATCGAGTTGGTATCAACTCATGGCAACCCTATGTAAACAGAATGTAACACTGCCTAGTCCTGTGCCAAGCTTACAATCATTGCTATATTTGAGCCTATTGCTGCTGTCATTGTGTCAGTCTATCTAGTTGGGGCCCTTCCTCTTCTTCTCCAACCCTCCACTTTGCCTCCACATGATATCCTTCTCAAGGGACTGGTCTCTCCTGATAGTATGTCTGAAGTATGAGAGACAAAGACTGGCCATCCTGGCTTACAAGAAGCATTCTAACTGTACTACTTCCAACACAGATTGGTTTGTTCTTTTGGCAGTCCATGGTACTTTTAATATTCTCCTCCAACACCATAGCTCAAATGTACCAATTCTTCTATGGGCTTCCTTATTCATTGTCCAACGTTCACATGCATATGAGGTTATTGAAAATACCATGGCTTGGGTCAGGCATACTTTAGTCCTCAAACTGACATCTTTGCTCTTCAACACTTTAAAGAGGTCTTGTGTAGCAGCTTTGCCTAATGCAATACTATGTCTTTTGATTTCTTGACTGTTGCTTCCATGAGGGTTGATGGTTGATCTGAGCAAAATGATGTCTTTGACAACTTTAGTCTTTTCTCCATTTACATGGATGTTGTTTATTGGTCTAGTGGTGAGGATTTTTGTTTTCTTTACACTGAAGTGCAACCCATACTGAAGACTGTGATCTTTGATCTTCATTGTGAGCATTTTAAGTCCTCTTCACTTTCAGCAAGCAAGGTTGTTCAATTAACTAAGTCTTCTTAAATCTCTTTCAGCAGTGTTTAATAATTTTAATTGTATAATAAATTCTTCATATTGTTGCTGTTAAGTACTGTCAAGTCGGTTTTAACTCATGGAATCCTTGATGGCATTTAACAACAAGAAAACAACAATAAGTCCTTTATATCCCTGGTTAAATTTATTCTTAGGTGTGTTATTTTCTTAGATGCTATTATCATTGGAATAGTTTTCCTAATTTCTTTTTGGGATTTTTCCTTGCTGATATATAGAAACCCAACTGATTTTTGTTTGTTGATTATATACCCTGCAACTTTGATAAATTCCTCGATTAACTCTAGAAGTTTTCTGATAGGCTCTTGGGGATTTCCTATATGTAGGGTAATGTCATCCATGAGTAAAGATCATTTTATTTCTTCTTTTTCTATTCTGGATGACTTTTATTTCTTTTTCTTGTCTTGTTGCTCTGGCTAGGACTTCTAATACAATAATGAACAGAAGTGGTGAGAACAGATGCCCTTGTCTTATGCCTGATTTCTATGGGACAGCTTTAAGTCTTTCTCAGTTAAGTATAATGTTGGCTGTTGGCTTTCTATTTATGCCCTGAATCATATTAAAGATTTTCCCTTCTATTCCAGTCTTTTTTAGGGTTTTCATTGAGAAAGGGTGTTAGATTTTATAAAATGCTTTTTCTGCATCCATAGATCAGGAGGTGTTTATATTGGTCCCAACAGACTTAGATCTATATTGGATCCCAAGTCTTTATAGGGAATCTGGTGGCACAATGATTTAGCACTTATTGCTAACCCAAGGTCAGAGGTTTAAACATACCAGTCACTGCATCAGAGAAAAGATCCAGCAATCTGCTTCCATAAAAATTACAGCCTAGGAAGTCCTATGGGTCAGCCCTACCCTATCCTATAGGGGTCACTTTAGGAGTTGACTCCAGTAGTTAGCAACAACTTCTTTATAGAAATTATTTTAGGGTTGATGTCAATTCTGATGTATCGCATCCCTTTTCTCTGGAAATACAGTGTGGCCAATGACATCTCTTCTCTGTAGAAACTACCAGAGGCATGCAGTATTGGCACTGGAAGGCCCTTTGTCACGAATCTGCAGGGTCTGTATGTAGCAGTTACCAAACAAGAGGTCCAAATGGAACAGAGGCATCAAGATACTGGTGAGTAGCTCCAGTACCTAGTGGTCTCCCTGGGTCTAGGATCAAGGTCTGCACCGTCTAATATGGGAGCCTAGCCATGTATAGTTATTTAAATATAAATTAATTTAAAAATAAGTTATTTGGTTCCTCATTTTCACTAGCCACATTGCAGGTGCTCAGTAGCCAAATGTAGTTAGTGACTACTGCATTGGACAGTATAGGGACAGAACATTTCCAGTCTTGCAGAAAGTTCTTTTAGACAGTGCTGGTCTAGGTATTTAGGAGGATTATCTAGGAAACCAGGAGAAGAACAACTTACTCTTCCTGAGACATGGCAGAGAATGTATAGAAGAGCAGGTGGCTACTTTGAGTCAAGGAAACTTTGCTCTACCTGTAAAAGTAGAGCTAGGGATTTTCACAGTAAAAATAGGGCTTTGAAAAAGTCAGCTAGAAGTTGTACATTGTGGCTGCTTCTGTCTGTTTATATGTTAGTACCAAGACCTGGCCCTTATCACATTACTTGGTAAATGCTAATGTTGCACTGGTAAGGGAAGGTATTTATCATTTTCTTCCTTCAATATTTCTGATTTCAGGAGACCCTCAGACTTCAAGCGGCACCTCCCCACAAGGAACTGATGAAAGCCATCTTCTGAACCAGCCAGAAGAGCCAGTCTTGTCAGTCCCTGAGATAGAGTCCACAGTGAGTTGTGGCGTTCTGAGTTGGAGAAGGCAACACCTATTGCCTCTGAGCCACTGATCCCTGGAGTTGTCACCTAGTTAGCTTTGCCTCAATAATTGATGAATATTTGTGACAAGTCTTCCAAATTGTAGATGACTGGTGGAAAGTCATGATCTGTATCCACTGATGGTCTATGAGGTTGTTCCCTTGGAAAGAAAGGATGTCTACTCTCCTACTTAGAGTATTAGATCACCTTCACTATCTGAAATAGACTTTGAAACATCTATGTCCGTCACTTGCTTCAAGAAGCCCTCATCCTAACCAGAATCCTTGGGAGGAAGGAAATTCCTTTCTTAATTTATTTGAAATTATTTCAAATCCCCTATTGACTTGGTTTCCTTTTTCTTCTAGGATACTTCAGGAGCTATGCTGAGACCTCCGTTGTCAAAGATCAAGAGGAAGCAGCCAAGAGGGCTCTTCAGTTAATCTGCTACTGTCTCATGGCCGAGGATGGACTTGGAGCATAACTTCCTAATATCACCTTGGAAGGAGCTTATATTGAAATGGTATCTCTGCAACAGAATGATAGCCAGGGACCCCTACTGTAAGAACAAGATAACGGAAGATCCCATTGACAGGCCACTTGAGGAGTGGGAACAGTTAATCAAGGGAATCTTGGCTCTGACCCATTACACATTGATCTTTCTCCTTTGAGTGGAAGCCAGGCTCTGAAAATTCCATACCCTTTTCTCTTTTTGTGGAGGTTCTTTGAGCCCAGGATCCTACCATGGACTTTTAGTATATTGGGAAAGTCTTTCAGCAAGAAGGCACACATGCTACATGCTTAGGAAGCCTGTCTACCTTTCTCAAGAGTTCCTAACCAGTCCCAAGTGTTCCTCAGAGATCCACTTCTCTCTTTCTCTCTTTAGCATGAAATAAAAGCACTCACACTCCCCTGTTTTTGAGATGATTCATTCTGTTGAACACAGAACCTAACTCCCTTTTCTGGATCCCACCCACTGATGTCTCTGGATGAAGTCTACACCCTCAATACAATCCCTCAAATTCTTTTTATGCTTCTCTGCTATGGCTAGAACTGAGCCTCCACTCAGAAAGTTGGCTCTAGAAAATGCTCTCCTTGGTTTACACAAGACAGAACTGATGTCTACAACACTTTTTTTGCCCAACCTGGTGTGTTTTCCTGTCTAGTTCCAAGGCATAGACGACAGGTAAACCATAATACAGTGTTGAAATTATGAAGCACTTGGAACACTAGATCAAGGTAGTTTCACTAGGTTGGGAGAAAAGGAATTTTACTTTCCCACTCTTCACTCCACTTCAAATAACGTAATAAGTAGAAGAACTAGGACAGACAGGAAGACAGGGAAATGGTCAGAGGAGTTCTCTGCTACAACAGAATAGTCTGAACTGCTAATAATGCCAAGCAGGAGGAAACTTAAAAGCTGAATGAACTATTCAGTGTCTGGGACAGGTAGAAAGTCAACGCTTAAGACAAATAGAGTAAGGTTTGGCAGAGCAGGATTGGTAGGTTCATTGGCCTTCTCTGCTTGGTTTTCCCCTATAGGTAAAATCAACTTTACTCTAGAATGAAAATGGCAAGAAATAGGCAAGAAAGTGGAACTCAGATGCTCATTGGGAATTGTTAAGTAAAAGAATGGGTCAGTAGCAGACAAATAGGTTTTTCTTCTGGTCAAATGCCTCCTTATCTATGTATCCTCCCTATTTAGGACTGAAGTCCTTGTGTGGTATAAACAACTAAGCACTCAACTAACTGCAAGGTTAACGGTTTGGACCCATCCAGAGATGCCTGGGAAGAAAGGTCTGGTGATCTACTTCTGAAAGATGATAGTCAATGAAAACTGTATGGAGCACAGTTCTACTCTGACAAACGGAGTTGCTATGGGTCATAATTGACTTGTAACAAACTGGGCTTTAGGTTTTAGCTAGGACTGGTATTCTGTCCTGATGTCAAGTCTTGGGGGAAAAGTTGATGCAAGCAAAAATAAGAGGAATTATTATCATAAGAGCAACAGTAATAATAACTCATATTTATTAAGCAAGTAATTTATACCAGGTACTCTAATCTGACATTGTATCCTGACAGTATTATGTGAGGAAGCTAGAACCCACTAGCAAATTACGCCTTGAAGTGATGAAGCGACATATCAAAGCTCAAACCCAGGCAGCCTAGTTCTTAGCTGCATTCATTATTCATCACTAAACACATTTTGCAGGAAGGACATTAGAGCCTGTTTTGCTGTATCCTCATCTAGTGACCCTGCTTCCTGTCAATAGGATGCTCTGCTCTCCATTGCAGGGAGTCTTGAGGTGACCAGGACTCATCTCATAGCTTGAACCTACCAGCAGAGTCTGAGAGCGCCTCCAGCACTCATTCCCAATTGCTGTCCAAAGCATTTCTTTACCTCCAACTACCATATCCCATGGTAGTGCTATCCCTGAATTTGATGGAAACGACATCAAAATTCGGGCTCTGTCAGCAGGTTTTGATAATGAGATTTCAGTGTCTATAAGACTTGAGACCATGTTGAAAGTGGAAAGGTATCCCCAATAAGCTCAGCGAGAATCTAAGTCTTCACCCAGGAGAACCTTTCTACCCTGAGAGCAGTCTCTAGAACAACATGTGTCATCAAGGATCTAGAATTCCCTGAAATTGTGTGAGCATAACTTTTTTTTCTTCATGTTCTCAAAAGAGTATATGACTTTAGAAACCTGTTAAAAGTATGCCAGGAGCCCTGGTGGTGCAGTGGCTAAGCACTCTATTACGAGCAAAGCTGTAGCCGTCTGCTGTGTTCTGCTCTGTCCTGTAGTCACTAGGAGTAGCAATCAACTTGGCAGCAGTGTAGTTAGGTTTTTGGTTTAAGAGTGTGCCCAGTGCCACCTTTATTCAGTGGGTGGGAAGGTCACTGGGCAGCAAAGGTCACGGCTCCAGGCAGATAGTGTCCAAATACGTCTTTAGAGAAGCATGGCTTTCACAGGTCCTGCCTTGGGCATTCTTGTCTTGAAGTCTTTACCCCCAAAGGTAGGTGGAGGTGGTGGTGGCAGCGGGTGGAAAGACTTGGGGGGTGGGTGTTGGGAGTTGCTCATCTCAGGGCAGCACCAGGGAAATCCCTGCCTTGACAAATTGGCCTCACCAGGCTGTGTTCCAGCCCTGCCCCCTGGCTTGGGCCCCTCCCCAAGGCCCCTAGCCTGGCCCAACCCCCACTCTGCATGCACATAAAAGGGTCGAATTCTAGTGGCTGCTCCATAAATTTTATTCCGTAAATATTAGTTTTCCCTGTGTTTAATAAAGCAGTGGCCCACCTCCCCGCCTCCCCGCCCGCTCCCCGGGGCCGGGGCTGGGGCCAGGGCTGGCTGGTGGGAGAAGGGACTCTTTCAATTGCTTTGGAGTATTTTTAGAAAAAAAAATAATATAAGGTGGTTTACAGGAGCAAGCCAGCAAACCAGGAGCAGGACTAGGGACCTCGAGGAAGTTCCTGCTGGAATTTAACCTAAAAAGTAGAGAAATAGCGCCACCTAGATTGCAAGGCCTACTTGGCCTGCAGGCTAGGGCACTCTGCCCCAGTCAGCTAGGACAGGCAAGCTCTGCTGGAAGTGAAAACTTCATCCCTTAACTCTTGTTTCTTCGAACCTCACTGAGGGCTTTCCCAGCACTTCTTAAAGGCAGAGGCAGAGGAGGGTCCTGGAAAATCCCACAGGGATCATTTATCAGCCAGTCTCCCCGATCAAGGAGTGCTTCCAAAATTGAGAAGGAAGGAGTAAAGCTTCTAGTCTCATCTTCCCACTGAGTCCTTAGAACGAGTCCTTGGAATTTCAGGGTGGAAGTCAGATCTGTGCTCCTATGCCCCGGACTTGGGAGGAACCTAGTCTGGTCAGATCAGTTCACCGGCAGGGAGGGAGCATGTCCTGTTTGTTAAGCGTTTCTGAGGAGCGGCTGGTGAGCTTGAATCACCGACCTCGTGGTTCAAACTGACATTGCAGTCCAGCAAATTACCCTACAGCACCCCACCAAGACTCCAGAAGCTCCATTGCTTATTTTTTTCCTCTGTGGGATAATTGACTTCTTTTCTCCTTCCTATTCTTTCAGATCTATTTTACAAAGCAGTTACCTCCCCCTTCTTATTGTTGTTGTTAGGTGCCGTTGAGTTGGTTCTGACTCATACCAACCCTTTGTACAACAGAACGTAAGTCCTACGCCATTCTCACAATTGTTTGAGCCCATTGTTACAGTCACTGTGTTAATCCGTCTTGCTGAGGGTCTTCTTTTTTGCTGATTCTCTACTTTATCAAGCATAATCTCTTTCTCTAAGGCCTGGTTCCTCCTATAACACGTCCGAAGTGTGAGATGAAGTCTCACCCTCCGCACCTCTAAGGAGTGTTCTGGCTGTACTTCTAGGACAAATGTATTTGTTTTTCTGGCAGTTCTTGGTACTTTCAATGTTCTTCACCAACACCATAATTCAAATGCATCAATTATCTGGTCTTCCTATGCATTGTCTAGCTCTCACGTGCATATCAGGCAATAGAAAATACCATGACTTGGGTCAGGCACACGTTTGTTCTCCAAGTGACATCTTTGTTCTTTAACTCCTTAAAGAGATCTTTTGTAGCAGATGTGTCCAAGGAAATACATAATTTGATTTCTTGAGTGCTGCTTCTCTGGGTGTAGATTGTGGATCTAAGTAAATCGAAATCCTTGACAACTTCAATCTTTTCTCTATTTATCATGATGTCCCTTTTTATCAAAAGTCCATTTGTGAGGACTTTTGTTCTCTTTATGTTGAGGTATAATCCATACTGAGGGCTGTGGGACTTCCAGTCCTCTTTACTTTCAGCAAGCAAGTTTCTTCATCTGCGTGTCACAGGTTGTTAATGAGTCTTCCTCCAATCCCCATGCTGCATTCTTCATATAATCCAGTTTCTCGGATTATTTGCTCAACATACAGATTGAATAAGTGTGGTAAAAGGATATCATTCTGACACACACTTTTTCTGATATTTTAAACACACAGTATCCCCTTGATCCATTCTAGTGAATCCCTTTTATGTGTAGGCTCCTCATGAGAACAATTAAGTGTTTTGGATTTTAATTCTTCACAATGTTATCCATAATTTTTTTATGGTCCACACAGTCAAATATCTTTGTATAATCAATAAAATACAGATAAACATCTTTGAGTATTTTCTACCTTCAACCAAGATTCATCTGATATCAACAGATATCCCTCATTCTCTTCTGAATCCAGCTGGAATTTCTGACAGTTCCCTGTACTGCTACAACCATTTAAAAATTATCTTCAGCTAAATCTTGCTTGTATGGGATATTAATCCTATTGTTCATTAATTTCCACATTCTGTAGGATCACTTTTCTTTGGAATGGGCACATACAAGGATATCTTCCAGTCAGTTGGCCAGGTAGCTTCCAAAGTTTTTGGCCTAGGTGAGT